AAAACATACCGTAAGTAGCGTTTTTTAAGTTTACCCTGAATATAAATGTTTATAAACTATACTTTAAGGAGTAATTCCATGGTAAACATTAAAACCACTCAAACGGAATATTATCATATTTACCCAAGTACACCAAAAATGTCATTAGTGCTTGTTAAGTGCAGGATTTGCGGTGTATTACTGCATTTTATTTGAGATGTTTTTGTTGGTGGTACGGAGGGTATTTATTAAGCAATGCAGAATAATAATTTTTATTTATAAAAACTTGTATTTAAACTGAATGCTTTTCTAATTTGCGAAACCAAATAGCCGCCATTTTCCGAAAGGAGGAGCGCATCGAGTGAGCGGCTAAATAGACTGCGGACCCAAGTCGATCGAAGCAAGGATAGCGCATGTCCATGTGGTGTCTCTCCCTAGACAATGGCACATCTTTTGTCCTGCCTTGCGTGTCCCTATACCTGCACACGCGAGGACCTGTACACGCCAAGAAAAAGAAGAAGCTATGCATCTTTAGGATAAGTTCCGATAAGTCAAACACGTTAACTAATTTTAACTGTTTTAAAAGAGAATTTTGTGCTTTACTTTTTGCTATTTAAAACGATTATTTGACCATTTGTCCCTTTGCTACGCTTTAGTTAGTAGCCTAACCTATTTACTCACAACATATAGCATACCATTTTTTTATATTAATATGATAATTATATGTTAGATAGGCTAGTCGTGGACCCCCGGCGTTCATTGCCCGGTCCCCTACGGGACCACAGGTTAAGAAATCCTGATATAGAGCGAAGCTTAGTTTTATCCCGAGGAGATGGAAAAACGGTAGTAATGTATTATGTTTTGACTGTTTAAATGCCCATAAACATGGTAGCTTACTTTTGGAATAGTCCCTAAAGTCTTGTTTTTTCGGGGATTTTCGAGACCGTGACCGAGTCTCGATAGTTTTTTCTCGGGAGGCGGAACTGCAGCGAAATTAAAATCCTGGTGGCAATGGAACTCCTTGTGAAAGAAATCCTACCTATTTCTGCCGCCAAGTAGTAGTGTGAGCATTACTGCGTTCCGATTTTGAATGGTAACAGTGCTGGTAAAATTACAGGCACATGGGACTTTTCAACTTATGTTTCAGATGACGGCCGCAGTGGCAGTGCGACTCAAATCTTTGCGATTTAAAGTTCTGAGCGACACTGCAACTGTATGGGCAGGCGTGTCGTTTACCACCAGGTGCACAACTTGTTTGTTCCATAAAAGAAAAGATAAAATCTGTGTGTACTCAACAGATATATAAGTTTTAATACTACGAACGTAATTTAATCGATAATCAAAACTAGTAATGAGTGAGTATAATTATAAATTACACTTTTCATTATTTCTGTGCTCAAAATCATTATCATTATAAAATATTTTCTCAATTTCCTGCTGAATTGAATTCAAAATAATGCTAAATTCTATTCAAAACTTCAAACTGAACCCTAATAAGTTTCATATGAGTGACATCGCAATCCGTAGTGATTGAATTCTAAACTTGGACGAGGGTCTCTGGTTCTGAATAGGGTTGGAGAAAATTCGATCTTTCAACGTATTAAACTCAAATGTTTATTTACATAAGATGAAACACATACCAGTTTATGCAATCAATATTGGCATTAACCAATATTGCGTAACGCGTGGAAACTAGAAACCCACGGGTCTCAGATTCTACGAACACCAAAAGCAAAACCAAAACGTACTACAAACAAAAAATAGGTAGTGAAAAAATAGGGTATTTGCAGCAATATTAGACATAACTGGTTGAAGACTGTACCACCTCAGTCAACCGTGACCATGGGACCTGTAAAAGGGCCCGAAACGTCGGTTTGTTTGAAAAAACAAATATACGCGATTTAAATCCGGAAAAATAGTTTCATTTCCTATATATCTATTTCATTAATATAATACTATTTTGATACTGACTTGATTAATTGTTATTGATTTTAATGTTATTTTTGTAGATTTTAACTTTAGAACTTCTATTCTAATGTTAACGTAAATTGCTGTGCGCTACAGGGTTACATAGCTGTACTTCTCTTTATTTTTAAAACTTGTGTATTACCCATGTAATGCAATGAATGCAATAAATAAATAAATGAATTTTCTGTAATTGGATAATACATTTTACAGCGTAGAGGATTTTCTTTTTTTAGTTATTCTATTTTGGTTTATATTAGTCATTATTGTTTATATTAGCACGGACCTAACTCAAGAGGACTATCCATACTACAGATCGTAACTCTGAAAACAACCTTAAAGTAGTTTGTATTATGTAAATGGCTGTAAATACCTAAATAAAAAAGATTGACAATATGCCATGAATATATGGCATATTGTCAATCTTTCTACACGGGTGGTCTGTGGGATAATTATACGCAGAAGGCACTCGGCGCCCTGCGCGGTCAATGTAATGACAATTTCAGCATGCTGTTGGTACTACCGCGATACTGTAGCGCATCGTCGATGTTTGCTCAAGTAGATGACTTTTTGCTGTGATGCGTAAAAATACAGCGTCACTACTCTCTAGACTGCGTTCGAGTCCTAACAGCATCCTGAAAACATTTGCGGGTAAGCTGGATGCGCCGATGCTCCGTCATTTCATCCAGGTTCTGGTGACGTGATGGGGAAGTCGGCGCCTCGAGCGTGATAATGTGTTTTTTTTATGTTTTGTCTCTGTATTTACTAACAAGTAGGCCTTCGATGCCAAATAAATGATTTATTTATTATTATTACACTATTATCTTTATATTTCTCAATAAAAATGCAAGTAAATTAATTTGCTACTCCGCCAACCCAGTGAAGGTTAAATCGTGCAAAAATAGCTGCTCATGTGTTGAATATTTTTTCATGCAGTTAATTATAAATAACACAAGCGCAACTATAGTCACAAACCACCACAAAAAATATACCCGACACGTGTTTCGCCTCTCCACGAGGCATCCTCAGGGGCTGTTGACTGCTCGACGCTCGGCCGAAGAGATTCCTCTTTCACACATTCACGCCTGAATTTATTAATTACTTATATTTCTTAGCTTGTTAGCTGGTTTGAACCACACTTGCGGACCGAAATCAAGCAAATTCAGCATGTCTATGTGGACGGTGGTGGTGATGCGTAACAAAAGCTTACTTTGTCCCCTTTTATCTGCAAGAACCTTCTGACAATGAGACAAGTATTAAGGATGGCTGCCTTCTGTAACAAGTGGTCTATGTTTGCTAGGAGATTCAGGGAATGCAATGAATTATGTAGCTGCTATTTTTATTATTATTGTTATTATATCTATTTTAGACTCTCGCCTCTCTTTAATACGAAAAAGTAGTAATTTTGTCCCTGTAGCTATTATATGTAGTATAATGCATCGTGTGTTAGAAGCTAATTTATAAATTAATGCTTGCTTATATGGGTATATGGCGCTAATCCTAAGCAAAATAAAAGAATCACCGGCACTATGCATAAAAATCAATATAATAAGCGCCATCTAGTTGATTTGTTTGTTATCACTAGAAATTAAAGTAACTTTGATAAATTTCAGCTTGTCAATGTAAAACAAATTAGTTACAAAAATAGTTATTTGGTACTAGTCGCGACATCTAGTATATCAACAGGTACTAAACACCTCTAGAGTTATTTATTGATCAATGATATTAGTGACGACCATATTTAAATTATAATATTGTTACACTGAAATTATGAAATAAATTAAAATGATGTAAATAACAGCCAAAGTATATAAATTACTGAGTAACTAAATCCATGTGTACACGCCCATATGATAACATTGTTATAAAATGTGAGTAAATATTGAATGACCTTTAATATGTTTGTTTGCTAATGTTTGACCAGACGCAGTGAATCTATACTTATTTTGTTACATGACAACGTCTATACATTCACAATCATAAAAACACATGCGTACTGAGTGAGGAAACAATTACATCCCGTACTGGGGGTCTACACTCGATCTCCGTGTGACATCCGTCCGAAACAATTACTGCCAAATAAGCAATACTTGACCAAATGAAAAGACGCGTGATGCGAATGAAGCTTCATTCCATTATGAAGTACTTGTATGTACCAGAATCGAGGATTCAGTACGGGATATGTACGTATAGCACATGGCCCACGCCCCGGGACGTTCTTTTGAAAGAATTGACGAATGCGTAGAGGTGTCCAAACAATTCTAAAACTTGTTTCGAATAAAAATATTTTACTGTGCAAATCTGATCTACCATTTTCTTTTTAAAAAGTGGAGTCTGTGTGATACTTAACGCCAAGAAATGTTAACGGTGACTAAAAGTCACCTGTATACTGTATACAAAAGTCATCTGTATACTGTATACTTAATGCCAAGATAACACTTTAACGGCGACTAAAAAATCATCTGTATACAATCTGTTATTATCAATAATTATTATGTTTAAACTTCCAGCAATCCACTAAACTAAATGTACATTAAAATGTACTAAATATAATAACATGCTTTAGGCCCAAGCAAGTATGCCCTTAGTTTTTTTTTGTCTATGAAAAATGTATTTTTCTGGATACCCTAAGGTCATGCAGTATATACATCACTAAATTTGAATGAGATATTTCCTTTATTGTATACACTGGGCGTTTATTATGATTATAAGAATAATATTGTCCTTATCTGAATCACATAATATGTACATTTAAACGTACACGGTATCTTAGGAGATTTAGTACGTAATTAACGACGAAAACAAACAGAATTCTACGGCAAAGGAATCCAATACACTCTCTGTTTCAGAAATGCAATACAATAAACTCTAAAGAAAGTTACAATGTAAGGATCAGGATTGTTGTTGTACAAATTTTTTTTACACATCAGTGGATGCTAATTTTGTCTGTTTAAAAAACAACAAAAATTGTACGTCCTCACTGAACCTGTCCAAATGAAAAAAAAATTCTATTTGGTTTATTATAATAAAATATTATTTCAATGATTTTATGACATTTATTAATAAGAGAATCAATCTACAAAAAAACAATCAATTTGCCAGCGTAATCGTAATAGAATTTTACCAATGTTATATTTTAAAAACATCAGCTGAGTAGCTTTTTCAGCTTGCAGTCTGTTTCTGAAAGGTTTGGAAATTATTCCAGCGTATCTTTTAAGTCATGTCGCGACTCTAACATCCGCAATGAATATCGCCATTAATCAATGCAGAGGCTAATGCGGATGCGGATATTTTAATTTATGCAGATTCTGCGAATGCGAACGCAGATGCTAATATTTGCAACAGCCCTAAGTAAGAATAATAAAGTTTAGAGTAAATAGACGTTTACTGGACAATCACCTAACATCACTGATCACATTGTCGCTTAACATCATCATCATATTTTACAAGAAATCTTTAGTTCCTTGGAACTAAATCATATCGACTATCAGGTACCCTTAAACTGAAAACGCTTTTCTCGAACCGTTCCAATTTCAGCGTTTGCGGCACCAACGTGTATCGATGGAGTAGCCAAGCCAGACCCGCCAAAACTTGAAGACGGGCGAATCTTGATCCTAGAAGACAAATTGTATGTTAATACTGTTTCTAACGACAATTTATGCCTGTTTGATAAGTTATTAATGATATAATATGTAGTTAAAAAGTAGTATATTGATTATTTAATAGCCGTAGTGCTCCTTGTGAAAGAGTACGTCCAGATAATTACCACCTTTCCTATTTCTGCCACCAAGCACAAATGTGAGCATTACCTATCGCGTTCCCTTTTTTGAAGTGTAAGGGTGCATGTGAAATTACGCAGTGATCGACATAGTGGGAGTGCCCCTTAGAATTTAAAACACTGAGCGGTACAGCAACCTCCATGGACTAGCGTATCGCTTACCACCACACACGACTTGTTCGAATATAGAAGTCGGCTATAGCGCGACATTTCACACAGACTGACACTAACCACTGGATACTGTCGACAAAACGTCACTACATACCACGGTTGGTACGAGAAGCCATCGAGATCACGAAGTACAAAACATTTAACCGTGACGATGATTTCAAACTGTCTAGTGCATGGAATCCGGTCTTTAGTGCGTGCAGTAATAAAAACAAAAACACCTCGAGTTCAGTTTCGCTTGTGGATACAGTGAGTGTGGTTTGTGAGAAAAAAGTGAGTGACAATGGTAACGATACAACAAATCGAAATGAAGATAGTAGTCCTCGACAGCGCAAGAAGGTAGACAGATATGTCTGCTCTTAATGCTGTCATCTGCCGCCGTCCAGTTAACCCATGACCATGGAGCGTGCAACCGTTCCGAAATATAAAAATAAAAATAAGTCATACCGTGGTAAGAAGCCTCAAATTAGTAATAATCATTTAGTGAATAACCACGAAAGCCTTAAAATCTATAGAACTTTATTCGTATGGCAAAAAACTCCTGATGAAGATTAAAACTTACAAAATTAGCTTTTTCCCGCTTTTACCTACGTTCGCGGTCAGAGTTAACCTTGAAATATATTATAGAAAAAAACTCCTAGAATATAAAGTAAGGTACGATTTTACCCTTTCTTTAAATTGCCAAGTTGCTGTAGTGCATCGAAAATGGGTTTTAGTAGCATGTAAAGGGTTTGTTGCTGTGCTGAGAAACTTGACTTACAAATAAATGGACGACGGGTCTAATACAAAAACCACGAAAAAAATGTCCCAAGTCAACTATTTAAACGTAGTGATATGTAAAGAAATATGAAAAAGCTAAAACGTTGAATTTAAATTGTAATGTCATCGCAGTCCTGTCTAATTTTGCTTGCTTCGCTGTCAGAAGAAACAAACGAAGACCAAAGCGTGAATGACGCTCTGTATACGATTTTAACGCCCTATAAGTTCGGACACTTTTTAGCGCGGACCCGACGTCCATATAATTGTAAGTCAATGTGAGAAAGAGAGTTTATTCTATTAGACGAAGAGTACTAGACAGTATTAATAGCGGGTATAAGTTTGCAGTTGCGACCAGTCCATACGCGACCCTGGATCTCAGTCATTAAGTAGTTGTATATTGGATGTTAAAAGTTGTTTGTCCAAACTCGTTCAAACGTTTCCGCGTAATTGATAGTGACGATCATTTGCCCAAAAAAATGTTTGCCTTTACAGTATTAAGAAAATTACAGTAAATTGAAAATTACTTAAATAATTAAGTACAAACAAAAACGAAAAATTTACATATGTTTACCTAAGCAAATTCGGTTTCCTTCGCCAAATGGAAGATAACCAAACTTCGGCAACTTTGAAATGTTCTCCGGAGAAAACCTTTCAGGGTCAAAAAGTTCAGAATTTTGATAATATCTTTCATCTCTGTGTATTCCATAAACGGGAATAATGCATAAGTCACCCTCGAGCAACTTAACATTACCAACAGGCAATGTAGTTGGTTTAGTGCATTTTCTTTGAATCAATCCTATTGGTGGATATTTCCTCATTGCTTCATTTGCTACCATTTCTAAATACTGTAGTTTTTCTACGTCGTTATATGTTAGCTTATCATCACATCCTTCAAACACTGTATCAATTTCTTTGTGAACTCTGTTAAGGATATCAGGATTGTTTGACAATTCGATTAAAGTAAAATGCAAAGTCGTCGCAGACGTGTCAACACCGGCTACGAAGAAAAAAAATGCTTGCGCAGCCAAAATTTCCACTGAAGGTTCCAATTCATATCCAGTTGTCGAATCTTTCATGATTCCTTGTTCCTGTATCTGTAAACAGATGTCTATAAAGTCGTGCCTGTTCACAGTATCTTTCTTTCTGCTGTCCATGACGTTTCTCACAACGTCTATGAAGAATTTCTCATATTGACCAAAAGCCTTTAGGCCTAAATATTTGAAAAATGTAGGAAATGTATTTGCAAAGGTAAATAGAAGGTTACCAATAAAGCTTGGCGATGTGGCTTGCGAAGTCATATCCAGAAATGGCGAATCCATCGTGTTTTTCGTTTTAGTATCAATACCGAAGACTGATGCACCTATCGACGCAGCTGTATAGGTGTAAAGACAGTTGAATGGTTTCCTCTTAAAATCGACATGATCTGCGATATTCTCCGAAAAGTCTCTGGCGCATCTGTCGAGTATATAGAACATATTCTTTAGTTTAGCTGTAGTGAAGACGGGTGATATTTTTTGTCTTATAACTTTCCATCTCCCAAAATCTTCGATAAAGAGTACATTGTCAGCCAGTTTGTCATCAGGACTAAAAGAAATGCCTCTGCTGTAGAAACTTTGAAAATCACCCGCTAGAACGGTTTGAACGTTTTCCAAGTCTCTAAGTAGCAGCGCCGGTTTGGAAGCGAGAAATATTCCGACATTCGGCTCTGAGTACTTATCGTAAACGCTCTTATAAACTTCTGCAAGTGAACAATTTCCGAACACAAACTTCCAGATCACACCGTCCTCTTGAACTATGCCACGTTTCTTCCAATAGTCACTATTACGTCTTAAAATCACTGCTATCAGAACCACTAGCACCAGTAATAGTATTAGGAACATTCTCGAAATTTAATTTAACAAAGTCGAAGAATTTCACAACCGTGTTTTGTTCAAGCGTCTCGAGTCCACAAAGTACGTAATATAAATGACTATTCGTTTCATTCTCAGTTACTATAAATACATTGTACTCGTAAATTGATATCTGTCATGATCACGTATTGTAGAGGGCATCGGTCTGTTCTCCAGTCCGTTTCTAGTAAGTATGTAATTTATTGTTGAATAAACATAAAAAGGTTATAATAACCTCCCAAAACTACCAATCAACATGATGTCACGAGGAAAAGAGCGTTCAATTATGAACCATATTACGTCAATGGTTATAGAGACGAGTTTTTCTGTGTACTAGCGGTCTATAGTTTCATGCTGATCTGGAACCAAAAGAAAAACATAGAAGGTATCAACTGCTTATCATCCCGCAAGTTGTAAAAGTCGACATAGGGATTGGGTGTAATGGTGTCCTATATGTAGGCGACAGACTGGCAACCTGTCACTATGGTGCATTAAGTTACACAAGATTGTATACAATCTCAACCCGAACATTTGCCAAATGTGACTTTAGTAACACTGTGTCACTTAAAGCTCTGCTTACCTCTATATGGGAACCCAAAAGCGTGAGTATATATATGTATTGAATGTGAACCACTACTGAGATTTCCCCTCGAAACTCCTTCCCAACAAAAACATAATCATCAAAAACGGTTCACCGAATGTCATACACATAAAAAAAGCAATTATTATTATACTAAATAACCAAATTAAATAAACCATGTCTTTTGTTAACGTTTGAGATTTGGTGACCTTGAGTTATGTTATACTTCTATGTAGCGAACACACGTACATTTACATAATTATATGTATTGTATCCGTATTGGAATAAATATTATTCTTATGATATTATATATGTATTTTATAAACCAGCTTTATATAGCAAGTACATCATATTTGCTAAGAATACAATAATATATAACAGAAGAGCTCTGCAATTCTCAAACAATTTTTTCATTGATAACAGTGCCAATATTGTAAAGTATTTATAAGCAAGAACACCATACAAAAAGTTTCATTTAACTAACTAAACTAATAAAGACGGAAACGAGTGAAACAAAATTCATTGTCGCATTACACTTATGACTTATATAAATATATAATCTACACGGGTATTCAGACGATAAGAATTTGTACAAATAATTACATAAACAAAGTGTGTTGTTGTAGGAGGATAATTAAATCATATTTTTCTTTAAATACGCAATGAACAATATGTACAAGGTCAATCATATTAAACTTGACCTCAAGGTAACTCTTGAGGTCAAGTTGAACTCAATTACGATTGTGATAAAAAGTACAAAGTGTCTTTTGGCTGTACCTGCATTATTATTTAATAGAACGTTCTTAGAATAGCATTTACAAATTACAGGCATATGCAGTGGCAGTGCCCCTATATTTGCGATTTAAAGCTCTGAGTGGCACTGCAATTGTTATGGGTAGGCATGTCGCTTACGACTTGTTCATACCATCACTTGCTATTATAAAAAAGGTATGAATTTAAATTGAAATTTACACGCGAGGTTTCCTTAAATTTGGTCCACGCGGCGGCCCGCGCGGCGACCGCGCGGTTGTGTTTTCAGAGGAATTTAAATGTAGTTTCCTGTAGTAAATAGAATTCAGATTGGCCCTTTAAGTACACGAAGGCGTGGTAACTGGGCCTCTCCTCGTGTAACTAGGCGCTTAGACTACTATAGCTTTGAATTTTCATTTATGTACAAATCAATACTCAGAATTGTTACTAAGAAAATTTTCATTCAAAGAACAACATTCGTATAAAATATCAAAGTATGTAAATCGTCCTAGTTAATATCCAGCTTGATATAATATCAAAACTGATAGTCAGTGTAGAATATCATATATTAAGGATCCTTATCAAGCGTTTAATTAATTTACTATCTCTGCAATCAAGTACAAAGCTGTCTTAAAGGTGTTGTAATCGACACAATACAAGGTTGACTGTGCACTACGGGATCGGTCTTAAAATACCGGTATTTATTTTAAGACTGATGTTTATGACATCATTATGTGTGACAACTTGAATGGCTCAACGCTTAGGCACTGAAAATTTACTTTTGCAGGGTTCAAAACTATCGTGAATCTCAAAGTCAAAGTCAAATAATAATTTATTTCATGGGTCAAATTTTTACACCTGAAAACATTGACTTACAATTATATGGACGTCGGGTCCGCCCTAAAAAGTGTCCGAACTTATAGGGCGTTAAAATCGTATACAAAGCGTCATTCACGCTTTAGTCTTCGTGTGTTCGACTGACAGCAAAGCAAGCGAAATTAGACAGTACTGCGATGACATTACAATTTAAATTCAACGTTTTAGCTTTTTCATATTCCTTTACATGTCACTACGTTTAAGTAGGTTGACTTGGGACATTTTTTTCGTGGTTTTTGTATTAGACCCGTCGTCCATTTATTTGTAAGTCAATGCCTGAAAATGTAATTTTTAAGCTACTGCTCGTTCACTGTGCTGACCTCCCTGAGAAGAACGAGCAAGAAACTCTAGGGATTGCTCTTTTCAAATAAACTAAAACCATATAGAATACATTTTGAATCATGCTTGTGTGGAATCTAGACTCACGTTATCTTTCCATACGTGTTTATCTAACACATAGTCTACAATTTTGTAATATGACTTTTCAATTAAAATACTTTTAATATAAGTTTTAAACTAAGGAAATGGTAATCTTAATATATGCTCCGGGATCTTACCGTAAAAACGTATACAGTTCCCCATAAAATAATCGTTAACCTTAGTTAAACGAAATCGTGGCACCATGAGTTTGGACTTAACAACTTTATACTAAAGGCTATTATTGCATGGCTTTTGCTTACTTGAATGATAAAAACCCAGGGACTGGTAGGGTGTTTATTTACATACTGTAAACCCTAGAGTTTCTCACTCATTCTTCTCAGTGGAATCTGCCTTATGAAAAGCAATATAGTAGCCTAGCCTTGGCGAAATCAAAGGGAAGGCTAGGTCCATTTAATTTTATTGCAAGATTTTTATTGTAGAGGTAGAAACAAAGAAAAGGTAAAGGAGAAGAAAAGGCTCAAAAAGGCCTGTATTAGTGTATATGTCGCTGCTATTAAGCAGTTAGATTTCAATGATTGAAGATCGTGTTTTTGATCTCCGAGAATTTTGTTGGGAGTGACGACGAAACGAAGCAAAAGTGATGGCGAAGAAAAAGAATTAGAAAAAACACCTACACATTCAATGAAGTTTGACAAACCCCAGGTCCTTGCAAAAGAAGTCCGTTATCTACCCAGGATGCTGCGAGAGGCCATTGAAATTAAAAAACATCCTAATTTCAACAGGGAAGATGGTTTCTCCGTACCACCAGTTTGGGATCCAGTATTTCCTCTAATGAAAAATCCCAAACAGACATAAGACTGCAGTACTAATTAATATGTTTTAGTTTATTCTAATTTCTATTAATAATTAATAATAAATTAAACCTAATAAAAATTCATTCAATAAAATAATTTGTAAAACTTAATGTAGCGTAAATTGGAATGTTTTCTTTGTAAAATTAAAAATAAGGTATTTAATTAATAACTATTGTAACTATAGTGAAAAAATAGGGTGGTTTGCATTAATATTAGACATAACTGGTTGAAGACTGTACCACCTCAGTCAACCGTGACCATGGGACCTGTAAAGGGCCCGAAACGTCGGTTTGTTTGAAAAAACAAATATACGCGATTTAAATCCGGAAAAATAGTTTCATTTCCTATGTGTAACAATCGCGAAAACCTAAGAACTCGATAATTAGAAAACTATTAAAAATTTCGTTGGCATGTAAGTGGCCGGGAAACCAGAGAAAAGGGTGATAAAAGGTGAGATGATGTTAAAAAAGGCCGCTTCGTCATAACAGTTTAATCAAAGTAAAGATTTCAAGCGCAATTGATTTGCTTACCTAATAAAAATAAAAATGTAACACAAATTAATATGTAACCCTTACCTTTATCAACCAGAGGTCGTATTTGCCGGGCACACATTATCGTATCGACTTAACTACAACGTAAGAGATACACAGCCTCAACTAGCTTGTATCTTTATTAATAAACCTTTTACATAACTTATCTACATATTTAAACAATTAGGTGTCGATACTGTAGCGTTGTATTGGCCCCTACAGTTGATATTTAAAAATCTATGTAAATTAAAACCATTTCAAATATATATGTCATATACTATGCGTGCTCTATCTATTTCAATTTACTGAAGTAAAAAAATCATTGGTATATGTACAGTACGCATTGAATACAGCGGTATTCTTGTAAAATTTCGAGGTAAGTTTGTGTTTTTTTTTTCTATCGTGAAAATTTTAAGGAATCGTGTTTTCACACCATATAGTAGTCAGTGTATATTCTCAATTTTAGTGCATATTTTTTCCAAGGTAATTGATTCAACACTTTCGCTGTTATGTGGAATCAACTAAAGCCATTTGAGGTTGTATAGACCCTTAAGGACCACAGACTGGACCGAAACATGTCGAGTAAAAATTCAACTTAATCGACTTAAATACGTAAGTTATCCGTTAGTTTTCTATTTTATAACGACATAGCACACAGAGTATAATGAATTTATGTCATTGCATAACATACAATCTAGATACGACACAGTAGCTGCGGGAATTCCCGAGACTGCGCGAGAATTCTCCAGAAGACGCGTTACATGTTTTTTAGCTCATATCTACTTTGTATGTTACATATTTGACATACAGTTCATTATCCGCTCACGCGATGCGCTCCTCCTACCGAAAAATGGCGGCTATTTAGTTTCGCTAATTAGAAAAGGATTCCGTTTAAATACAAGTTTTTGTAAATAAAAATTATTGTTCTGCATTGCTAAATAAATACCCTCCGTACTACCAACAAAAACATCTCAAATAAAATGCAGTAATACACCGCAAATCCTGCACTTAAAAAGCACTAATTAAATTTTTGCT